GGCCCCCCACGCCTGTGGTCCCCTCGTCGCCTTGGTTTCCATCGGCAGCTCCTTTCCCTCTGTAACGCTGGCTGCGAGCGGGTCCGGGCGCCGCGCTCTCGCACCGCGCCTGCCCGGTTCTGTCTCCGAGAGCCCCCAGTTCTGTGGTCGGATACTTGGAGTCTCCTTCCTGACCCCATGCCAGCCCCTTGGGCGTGGTTTGTCAGTACCCGCTCTGCTCCTGGTGGGCACCCCCCCAGCAGGCAGGAGAGGAGCCAAGGATCAAACAGCCCTGGGATCCCCACCCCACTTGGAAAGGGATGAGGGATTCGGGGAGCAGACACTGCCGGAGGCTCCGAATTCACATCTCCGATCTCCAGCCCTGTGCAAGGAGAGCCCCAAAGGAGGATGCTGGCAGAGGGGGTGGAGAGGAGCCAGGATGCTGACTGGAGGGTCAGAGATCCTGCCTGATAGAGCCAGTCTGACGTGGGGGTCGCCCCACAGAGAGAGGGGCAGGGCTAGACTGGAGGGCAGGCTGCCAGTATTTAGTAACAGGCTGCCAGTATTTAGTAACAGGCCCGTCAGTCTGGCAGAGAAAGATCTCGCGCCCCACCGCCGGGGGGCTGAAACTGACCGACAGAGCCAGGAAACGTGTCCCCTTTTAACGGCCAGCGGGCTGCCCCTCAGATGGTGCCCGGCTCTGTGTCCCTCTGCCCACCTGGTGGGGCCAGGGGGCAGTTTCCCAAGGCCTGTGGCGGATTCCCCCTCACTGACCGTCTTCGGCCCCCGGAATTACTGTGGGGCCATGTCATGCGGTGGGGGGAGGGAAGGCCAGATGATCACAGTGGGCCCTGCTGACTTTTGGGGTCTGTGATGTGCTCGTTTGACAGCTACGGGCCCTGGTGACTTGCCGACAGCCAGTGGCGGGGAAGGGGGTCTTAGAACCTAAGCCACCGAGTCCCTGACCCAGAGGAGCACAGCTTACTCCGTGCCTGGCCTGAGCAGCCCCCTCCCTCTGTCAGCAGTAACCCCCAATGTTTCAGAGGAAGGGCTTAGATACCCCTAATCTCCCAAGGAGCTGATGAGGGAAAATTTGTCCTTAATCCCCATCTAGCCATTACACATCCATCTGGGTACTCCTGCTGTCCCTAGGGGTGCCCAAGACCCCAGGGACACATGCTAAGTTTTTGGCCTCAGTGACATCCAGTGGCAGGGAGTTCCGCAGACGTAAGTGTGCCGTGTGGGAACATTTTCCTTTCCTCTGCTTTTGTCTGCCCCCTTCTGAGTCTCTTGGCACGCCCGCTTGTTTTCATCTCACGAAGCAGGGGACACGGCCGCCTCTGAGCCCCCTCCTCCAGGGGGGACCTGGGTCCCCCTACTAGGGGCAAAACCTTCTCGGGTGTCGTCGGAAGCCCTGGCGCTGATCCGCGGGGTGAGCTTGGGCAGGTCTCAGCCCCTGCGCGTTGCCTCAGTTTCCCTCTCTGTGAAATGGGAACAAGACGACCCCCCCTGCCGCCCCAGCGTCGAGGTGTGTGACTCGCGAGCGCAGCGTGTTCCTGCCATTCGGGCCTGCTTGGGGGGAGTGTGGGGG